ACACAACTATGGATTTGTTTGAAATTTCTGGTTTTATCTTGAGAATCAAGTTTGCAAACCTAACGATGCTAACATTGTATGGCACCCCAGGGCACCCCTGAATGGATCTCAAGGTACTCCAGGCTGCCACAGTGCCATGGTTAAGAATCACTGCTTTAGACCATAAGCTGCTTATGTAAACTTAGCTTCTCTCGTAGACCATAACGGTATGCAAATAAATTTAATTTTATGTAAAACCTTGTAGCAGCTAAAGTTATGGTGGACTTAAATATTTTTTAATTCTTTTTTTAAATAGATTTTTAAACATTTTGGTTCAATTTAAAATGTTAATCCACTGTCATAGCATCTGGCTTGCCAAAACCAACCCAGCTTTATGCTGTGAATCAGTGCTACTTGGAGCTTTGCTTATTCTTGTTTCATGTGATTCAACTGGAATTAGAATTTTTTAAATTTCCAACTTTTTTTTTCTGGTCTGATATAATGCATCTGTCTTGAACAGCCATTGCCAAAGTCCAAGAAAACACCCAGCAAAGGTAGCAAAAAAGAACGCAGTAGTTCTGGAACAGCACGAAAAGCCAAAAACACTAAAGGTCCTGAAATCTTGTCAGATGAGTCTAGTAGTGAGGAGGATGAAAAGAAAGAAAAGGATGAATCGTCTGAAGAAAAAGAGAGTGAAGAGGAGGTAAATACGGTAAAAACAAAGTTTCATGTATATATAAAGCTGAATGAGTGCATCTTTACTTCCTAACTACTACAGATTGGTAGTGCTTGGTATATACAAAGATGGAGGAAGTAAAGTACCTGGAGGGATAATTTTATATGTAGACAACTGCAGAGAAGGTGGTATGGTAGGCAGACCAGACTTATACAGGAATGTAAGATTTTTAGTGTTGAAGCAGAAAAACTAGAAAGATCTATTTCTGATCTTTGCATACATATTGTAAAATCAGTTGGTGCACAAGGTAATGAGGCAGCTTAGCAAAATGCATAAAGGTAATGCCTGGCTTATATTTCATGTTGACTTCGGGATTTTACAGGCAAACATTGCTGCTTGCCTGGGGAGTCTTTGAGTACAGTTGAATATATACTGTAACGACACTCCCATTTATCCAGCTGCGTTTCATTGAGATAAGTATCCAGGTTCTTGTGTAGTTCTAAGATGGTGTACCACCACACTGTGCACTATGTTTATGGGTTCTCTTCAGAACCTTTTTGTCATAACTGAAAATAATAGCCAAGAAATATAGCTACTCCTTGTTTAACATTGTAGTTATGTTTTT